TTTTCCTTTTCGATACTGCTTTCCCGCGGTATTACAGGCTATCTGAAGGCATTCTCATCGCAATCCTGAATCCGACGATTTTACCCCCACCGAAGCACAAGCTAGACACCAACAAATTCAGCCTCGCAATTTCATCGTCTGATGATAAGGTCTTGGAAATAGGCTATGCGCAAGACATCGGCTTCTGTAAGGCCGTCAGGAAAGACGGCAAGACATGCCAGGCCTGGGTTGACGCCCGCAAGACCGAGTTTTGTGACTTCCACATCGATATCCAAGTTCGTCGCACCCAGTCCCAAAGAATGGGAGTAAACAGCGGGACAGGCATGTTCGGTCCGGGTGGACGCTCTGGGTCACGAACTGGCTTTTTTGGTGGAGGCAAAGAGAAAGGAGAAGGTCCCCGAAAGGGGCTGAAACCAAACGGCGCACAATACGATTTCCAGTCTCAGTCTCTATATTACGTTGCGCCGGCCCCCAAGTCCCGAGCTGGCAATAGTTCCTCCTTCGTTATGCCAGGCGGCCAGTCCGCCGCTAAACTTATCGACGCCGATGACGAAGACCCATTCATCGCTGCAGGCAGGATGGGCCGCGGAATGGAAAATAAAGAAGAACGATTCCGCCGACGTCTCGTGGAACAACAGCGTGAGCGCGATATAGCCCAGAAGCTTACGTCTCGCGGGATTGGAATGGGCGCCGAATATCTTCGGGCTCGAAATCCCGAGAACGTCTCGTCTCCTCTTCCAGAGAATATCACACCGGCGAAGACAAGCCCAAACGCGGAGACCCCTTCAAGTCACTCAGGCCTTCTGGGTTTTAGGAAAGCAAACTCGGTGAAATTGGGCCCGTTGAAGCGCGCTCATGATGGGACACATGGTAGTAGCGTGAAAAAGACCCGATTCATCACCGCCAAAGGCATCAAGGAAGCCGGACGAGATAGCCTTGGAAAGGCCGAAGCGACGAAGACAGGCTTCGATGATGACGATGACGACGAGCTTGATATCATATAAGACAGTACAGGCAGATGAACATAAACGTGAAAAAAACCCAGATCCACAGGAATGTTTTGATGAACGCTAACGTCCTCAGCTAGAGGCTCTTGGAGTTGTTGGAGTTTCTTTCTCTCTTTCATTTACTTTCTCTTTTGTTAGCCTTGTATGTACTATTCTACTCGGCCCTTCTTGTACTTTGATAGTCTCTTCTGGCTGCCTTTATTTTCCTTACTTCTAGCAGGCTACGGAGTATTTTATACCTCTTATTGAAATCCATCCTTTTTTTTTTTTTTTTCTTTGAAGAATAGCGTATATAGCGATATACAAACACCACAACCATTGATGTTCAGCTGTGTAACTCTGAATAGGAAGAGTAAACAGACGTATTCAATTACGTACTTTCTGGAAACATAAGGGGGTTAAAGAGGACAAACTTGGTAGATACGATATTGGTTATTCATTGGATATCTAAAACTAAAGCTATCGAGAGAAGAGCTCAAATACACGCCGGGCTCAACAAAGGAGGCAGAATAAAAGCATGAGAAACAAAAAAACTCCATCCAGTAACGTGCATGCCAGCCAAATACCTATCCTGTCCGTTTACCCATTCCCGTATCCTATTCCGACTGCCGTCCAACAAAGAACTTGATTGTATGAACAAATGTAACCTGAGCGCAGCTGGACTATTAAACAAGGTTCTTAGCCCTGAAATATTGGCATGCAAAAGCCGACATATCTGGATAGTCAGAATCGCTATTAAGAAAAAGACGTAAAGATTCAGAGAGCATCAAAAGCCGAATTACATCGCATACCAACAGCATCTGAGATTATGCAAGTCACGACGGTGTGACAGCAGCTCGGCTTCCTCTGGTTTTCTTGGTAGCCGGGCCACCAGGGCTGCCAGCCGTTTCAGCAGCGTCCCTCTTCTTGGCTTTGGACCCTGCAGGCGCAGGAGTCGGTTTCCTTCTCAGCCAACCATCAAAGGGACTGACGCGTTTCTTTTTGGTCTCTGGGACCGTAGGTGTTCTGTGCTCCAGCTCATCACGCTTGGTTCGAGAACGCAATGAGCGTATTGTCGCACCTGGCGAGGGAGGAGTTTCGACAGTATTCGGTGGGGGAGTGACTGGTCGCTGTTTCATCTCAACGTCGACAGGGCGATCCACAGTTTCTGCTACGTCAGGAACGAGCATGTGGTCTTCAATGTCAGTGGCTGCTTCTTCATCGACATCGCTAACATGATTTGACGGAGGCGCACGGTCATTTGCTGTGGGAAAGAGCACACGAGGCTTAATGGACGAGCGAGTGAGTGGTCGAACGTTGGCAGTAATGTCTTCGTCCAAAAGATCTGGGCGAGCTGCGAGCAAGCCCAAGTCGTCATCGCCATCATCCCCGTCACTGTCAACTGGGTCGACAAACTTGCGGAAAATTTTCTTGCCACGGCTGCGGGGTTCGTTAGTGAGTACGCTCTACAGATTCCAAAGAATATACTTACAATACATAAGTCATACCATCGTCACGTTTGACTGATTCGTCAACTTCCTTGTCGCGCTTAATTTGCTCTGCCCTGCGTCTCGAAAAACGTGTAGGGGCAGTGGACCTCTTGCAGAATGGATTGTCTTCGCTTTCGTCCGGCTCTGGAATTCGGTCACGAGAGTCGGTGTAAATCTGGATATCGGATCCGCCCTGAGCATTATTGTCGAAGCTATCCAGGGAAAAGCCGGTGTATTTCTTGCTCTTCTTGGGGCGTCCAGATGGCGGAGGAAAGAGAGCCCGTGCTGTGTTTCCAATATCACCAACTGCTTTCTTCTTGGGTGTTTTGGCAGGTGTTGGTAGCATTCCCTGTGCCATGGCGGCCCGAAATGCGTGTGAAGGACGAGTTGAGTTGGAAGGCTCAGCGGTGCCGAAAGGATCTGAGTCGTCTAGTTCAGAGGCGCCATCTAGCGAACGTGAGGCAAGGAAACTGCCGATCCGATCGGATGTCTTCTTGCGGGGGGACCTGTGAGCAGATTCAGGTGGTGACAATGCTCCCAGTTCCTTATGTTGCTTCTTTGTGCTTTTGGAACTTTGCGATAGCGGAAAACTCGGCGGGGGAGTTGTGTGTCTCTCCTTCGATGCCCGCTGGCTGGCTAGTCTAGCGGAATGCCGCGTAGAGTACGGTTCATATTGGTCATATCCGGGTCCATGTCGTGGAGTGGGTGGCACACGTAGAGTTGACGGCGGCGGAGGTGTCGACGCCATTGTGAGAGATGTTCACCACGGTTCACTCACAACCCAGGATATACACACAATGTATTGGACGGCAATGATTGAAGACGAAGTTCGTAACCAAGAGAGTCCGTAAGACGTGGACGTTGTGAGCGGTAAAACTGGGCGGTCGCGAGTCCAAGGGGGTACCAAGGGAGGAAAGACGCGCGCGGGTACGCCAAAAGCCGACCAAAAGCAAGGGTAGAATTCTGAAGCTATCCGACCAGCGATCAATTCTTGTATGGAGTCGAGTGGGTAAGATCCGATGAATAATTATCGATAGAAAAAGGAGAGAATTAAAATTAATTAATTCTTATCGAGCGATAAAGGGAGCGATAGCGATGGTGGAGTGAGAAACGAGAGGGTGGAAGAAGTTTGGTGTTGGTGACGGGGGGAGCAACGAACGAGGAATGCTTGACGTCGAACCAGCCACACTTTTAACAACGAGGCTGAACCAATCATCCGCCTGCCCCACCGCCCCTCCTCCTCAGGCATTCATTGATTTCACCACTCCCGCCTTAGGTCTTAGGCGACGATACCTGGACCTTTATCTACACGTGCAGAACACTAAAATAGTCCGATTTGTTTGCTGTCCCTCAAACGCCCCTCCTCCACAACCACAACTCGAGCCCATAACTATTCCAATTCCTCACAAATCATGGCTTTTCGTAGCACTGCGGAGGAAATGGAACGACTTCAACTCTCCGATGAAGACACAGACGATCTCTGGGATTCTCCCTCGAAGCGGGGCAGTAGGAAATTGAATCGAACACCCGTTAAAGAAGAGAGCACCACGCCCCCGCCCATTCACTCTCACGATGGTGAAACGCTGTTCGACCGCCAAGAAGCACGCGAGGCAGCCTTGCGGAACGAGTTACAGAGTGTCCGGAACATCAATCAGGTGATTGAAGGCCTCCTGAGTAGCCTTGATCGGGCAAAGGGTAACATGGATGTATGTCGAATCTTATATTTACTTTCCCAGTCAAGGCATTTTCAGATCGCCAATTAATAAAAATCATGTACAATAGACCGTTTCGCGTACTGTTGATTCCGCGTCAACATTACTAAACACTTGGACGCGAATTCTATCTCAGACAGAGCATAACCAGCGGTTGATCCTCAATCCAAACTGGCAAGGTGCTGTTCAAGATGTCGCCGACTTGGAGAATGAAGAGCGCCTCAAGCAACAAGCCGCGGAAAGACGTGAACGAGAATTGCAGGAACAGAGGGAAGCAGCGGCTCGGAGAGCCGAAGAAGAAGAGAAGAGAAGAACGCAAGCCGCTACTCGAGGCACACGTGGCAGGGTCCGCAGCAGCGGTCTGGGAAGAACACCAAGTGTCTCCTACTCGAGAACCAATCCGAGTGCAACAAGGACCACATCAACAGCGACAAGAGGATCTACAACCACAACTACACGGAGACCGGTCAGTGGCATTGCCCGAGGCCCTAGCGTTACGCGCGGTCGAGGTAGAACTTAAAAAGCTTTGCATAAGTGACAACGGGACGCGTTCATGTACATTACGATATTTAAATGAGGTAAAAGCTTGCAATATGATACCCAGGGGCATAGAACGGTATACAACCCTTCTCTTTTTTTTCCCCCTCCATATTTAGCTTTTTTTTTCGAGGTCATTGTAGTTTGTAGGGCAGTCGTAAACATGATACTCGAGATGGAGAATCATCAACACGACGCGTTTTCTGCCTCAGGCGCCAAGACGTCACCGCCATCACGAACGGCCGATAAAGCTTTACCACCTGATAAGAATCTCACGCCATAATTCCGACGTCCACCTCGCCTGCGATCGCTATATTGAGCGCAATGAATTTCGCTCCCTATCAGGATGAATCACCCGAAGTCGAGCGGGCAATGTCGCCTGCCCTCGGCGATGCCAATCGCGTGAAATCGCCCATTATCCGATCTCCTGTCGGCTCTCCTCCGGTTCCAGGTCTCACATCCAACGCGCTTCCATCACCGAGTCACTTTGGCGGCAGTGTTCAACCAGGAGCAACTGGGTTCGGAAACAGTGGCTATGGCGGAGATGTCGAAAGTGGGAGATGGAACATGGGGGCTTTCGATACGAGTCTACCCATCCGCATGGATTATGAAGCTATGCTGGCATATCTTCTTCTGCCTCCTGCGGGGGGTGTCTTCCTTCTGCTAGTAGAACACAAAAGCGATTATGTACGGTAAGTGTCTAAATTAATCCGCATGTATACTTCTTGGCAGTTTTACTGATGTTATGCAGCTTTCATGCATGGCAGTCAAGCATGCTTTTTACCGTCATGTTCGTATGTCAAGCCACGTGTCCAACCTTGGAGTGAAATGCGCGCTTACAGTTCTCTAGATCATTCATCTCATATTTGCTTGGTCGAGCTTTTTCTCGTGGACTTTATTTCTATGCGATTTGGCCATGATCGGTTTCTTGAGCATGCGTGCGTATCGGGACGGTAAGTCAAAAGACATAGACTGGGAAACTCGCTGCAGGGCTAACTAAGTCCCAGTTGACACACTCGACCACTACGAAGTTCCCATTTTTGGCCGCCTGGCAAACTCCTTTGTTGATGACGAATAAACCTAATTCCACTTTCAATGGCGATGCATCCGTTTCATATACCCCTCCCATTATGTTTCTCGTGCCAACTAAGCATCGCTTTTCCCCATGGAAAACACCCCAGAATCTACCCACTGGGAATGAATTTTCCAATGTATAGTGATAATTAAAAGGGTATTCTATCTACCTTACATCCCAGAACATGTCTTTCACTGAATGGATGGTGCATCTATCAACCAAGCACAAAGCGTTGATCACACTTCCACCGATGTATATACTTACACATGCCGAATGTACAACTAAATCCATGTATTCAAAGCCACATTTTCCCCTGAAGGATTCATATCCACCCAATATTTCCATTCTTGTACTCAACATGCTCACCCAGTGCACTTACCCGCAGATTCACAGGGTCAATGTGGAGTTAATCTGTTCACCTTTCCCGCAACACCCCGTCCTGGAATTCACTTTCTCGCTCCAAATTATACCAACGACTAAGCTATGCTATACACAGCTTCTCCCGTGTTTTGTTCCCTCGTCTACACGCACTCCCCAGATAAAATCCAGACAATCACAATTAAATCCATCCGTTCCTTACTTTACCATCGAGCTATCCAGCTCTCGAAACCGATTAGTCTGTCTGTATACAGGCTTCGAAACAATTGCTCTTCTATTGAGCCCCTTTCATGACGGCTTAGCCCTAAAAGCCCTCTCTCTCTCTCTCTCTCTCTCTCTCTCTCTACGCACATACATACATATACTCCGAATTTTCAGACCTAATCAAACGAACTCCAGCTACTACTTCTCCGATACCCAATGTGTCGGGTCACACGTGTTATCCATAAGGAATGCGGCCATGTCAACGACCACGTTGAGATGGTTTGTAATAGACCGAAGCTTAAGCTCAAGGATGCTCGGTGCGATGCTTGGGATCAGCCGCATTGTGCCATAACCTACGTCCGTCTTTTGAAGTCCTCAGAGGGGTATGAGTGCATGAAATGCAACAATGAGTTGTCGGACGATGAGATATCGGGTGGTTCTTGACTCATGACTCGAGATACATCGGCTTGAGATCTTCTTCATGAGGCGAACGAGGTTAATTTGGGCTGTGCTAGCAGTATGGGCTTTGGCCTTTCTTCTATAATACTTGTTGTTCCCTAAGTTGGGAAGTTGGTGGTGGGTGCATTCTAGGACTTGGCTGGGCCTGTAGCATTGCGGCACAGAAGAAACGAATATGACTAAATGAGCAAGCTTCAATATTTGCGTGTATTACAATGCCGTTCGAGACCACTAATCACTAATCAGATAATTATTACTCAAATTATAGAAAATTGTAGGACAGAATCAGACAACGCAGGGCAGAACCATGGTATAGACCTGGGACATCTACCTCTGTCGTTGTTAAGATACAGGAATAGACACCAAACCAAGAACGAACGCTGGCTTCTCAAGAAATTAAAATCCAAAGGACAAAGTGGGTAGAAGGCAAACAGAAGGTATGGGTCAAGCCAAAAACAACAACCGGGTGATATCAATCGTAAGCAATTTGGAACACGAAGGAAAAAACATGTGCACCAAGAACATAGAAAACCCCATAGAAGTCGTGTAAATCCGTATCTACATCATGAACACATAATAGACATCGTTCGCCTGTACCCAGGCTGTTGTTCATGAAATGGACGTTCTTTAGATAATTTGCAAGTAATTGCTGGGGACCAAACCGGTCCGTCCACGGGTGGTAGTAACTTCGGCTTCCCACCAGCCGTCGTCTTGAAGTCGAATGACCGATAGAACATCACCTTTGGTGAAACCCAGTTCTTCGGGGATTGCAGCGGTATAACTGTACATCGCTCGGGCTGTAGTCACAAAGTTAGCTAAAAAATCTCATCACGTAGTGCGAAGGGTTCCCTTGGCTTACCAAAGTGAAGAATGGGGCGACCATCCCGGCTGAACTGTCTGCCAGGATCCGCAACGGCCAGAGTCCTGCTCCTGGACCTGCTCCTATGGCTTCCCGCGTCATAGAAGGACCCTGGTCTTCCAGCTTGCCTTGGCGAACCATGGCCACCACCGTACATGTCGACTTGGTTGGAGAGCTGCAACTCCATACCTCCAGCACTCGAGGGACGGGCTTGTTGCCTGAACTGTGGCTGCGGTGAAACGCCACGGCTCATGGGATTTGGAGAAGCTCGCCTTGTGTACTCATGGGGCGAGTATGCTGCATCAGCTGGACGCTGAGGCGGGGTGGAGACAGTCGGTGACTGACTGAAGCGACTTCTCATACTGCTAGATTGGTATGTGCTGGGGCTCGGACTTGGGCCTCTGCTGTACTGACCCATGCGGGTGTCTATACGGGGGCTGTTGACTTGAGGGCTTGCGCTCCGTCTTGGGGTAGGAGATCTGGCACGAGGTACATCTTGGGATTGTGCACGGTTTCTAGTTGCAAGGCCAGTGTTGCCATTACCACGAAGCATGTTATGTGTTTGCCCGGTGTACTTCTGCGTCGTCTTCTGCATTTGAGCGGACGTGAAGGCAGGCTGGGGGGCATCCAGACGTTTCACCGAAGAGTCGTTATATGCGGGGGGTGGAGTCGCCACAGATGCGCTGCTGTAATTCGAACTAGGGGCTGAAGGATTTGGGGTAGCAATGCCATGATATCTGTCGGCAGAGATCCGGGTGGTGGACTGTTTGCCCGCGCCTTTCAGGTCAGCCAGAGCACGTGCGATTGGATCAAGCTCTTCTTCTGCACTCTTTGCCGTCTGAGGTGCCTTCTTTTTGTCCTTATCAGGCGATGCCACGTCAAATACGTTGTTGCCGACATTAAGCTGGAAATTGGCTCTCGGGTCCACCGGCTCAGGGCTAGCGGATAGCTGATCGTTTCCAGGAGGAGCAATTGGCGACTGGGGCTGAGGAGCTTTGGTTGGGCTCGATGGCTTTGACGCATCCCACGTACCACGAGAAGGTGGCTGTGACGGACCAGAGTTCCGCTCCTTGTCATGGCGACTCTTACGTCGGAATGGGCTGTTGCTGAAAAAGGCGCTCCGCTTCTTCTGAATTTGTTTATCTGCCCCCATCCCATGAAGTGGCACGCCATTTGTCGGCTTTGTGGGGGATTGTCTAGCGCTGGGGGGTTCCTGACTAGACATCGACGTCGGATTAGAGACCTCACTCTGGGAATCACGGCTCGATGGTCGGTAGGCGCTATTTGTGCCAGAGCTCCGCTCAGAAGGAGGTCCGGTCCTGCAGAACATGGTCATACCATCCGTTGGATACGCATTGTGAGGCACACTGCCAATTTCTCCATGCTCGCTGGGGTCGTAGTTTGGCGGCAGTTGACCACCTCGGCGAAGATCCAAGGGCGCTGGCTGTTGCGTCGGTTTTTGCGGAGTGACGGTAGTTTCCCTGCTCGTAGGTGTAGGGGGGTTGTTATGAGCCATCTTACTTGCCAGGTCGGACTGTGGGTCGTGATGTGATTCATAAGTCGACGGTTGCGGGGAAGAACTGCGAAACGCCGGATTGATTGTACGCTGGAATTGGGCTACAGAGAAGCCATCTTCCTCTGAGACCTCGGAGCTCGTATCGTTAATATCACCCCGGCAGAAATTAATAAATCGGGGAGGGTCTGGGATATCTTGACCAGTCCCCCTTTCCTTGATGAAGTAAACGATATCCTTCTCAACCTCACAGCTCTCTAAAGAAAGGCGAATCTTCTCGCACGACTAACAATAACTTAGCAGGCATTCCACTTTAGCAAAACAGGGCACATACAGCATCATCGCTAACGCAAACAGTAGATGCAATGTTTGCATAAGCCCACAGGCTACTCTTGGTAAAGTCGAGTCTTTCCTCTTCGAGGTCTTGGAATTTCTGGGCATTCATTAGTTTCATCCACCATCCGCTCGGGGTCGTCTTTCGGACATACGTCACAGGCTGATTTCCATTCTTTGTTCCAGCGACCAGTCGTCTCTTCGAGCACTTTAATGGCAGCTTCATATTCACTGCTGCTGGAAGCCAGCTGTATCTGCGTCTTCTCCAGCTTTGCTTTGTTTTTGCGTTCTTCCTGTCCCATGACCATATGTCCCTGGGCGAGGTATCCCTTGATTCTTAGGCAGTCTTGCTCATATCGATCCCGGGTCTACAGTCGAATCAGTACGTTGCAATCCTTGAAGTATGCAACCTCAACTTACCTTGTTAACTGTTTGGGTCTGCTGCATCTTGGTTTTCAGCAGGCGCTCGATCCCTGTTTGTATGATCTTTCTTCTCTCTTTCGATCCACCAGCAAACGCTACCAATGGCTCTTCCAGCTCCCTTTTCATCTGTCCTGCTATAGCTCCATGTGCCTTGGCGATTGCCTCTGTTTCACCGCGAACAACGTCGAAGGAAGATCGAAGGGAGCCCAACTCTGTCGACCCAAGGGGTTTTCGGCAAAGAGCTAGAAGCTTGCGCGCATATTCCTCTTCAATGGCAGCCCGGACTGTTTACTTTATTAGGATCTCCTCACATTTTCCCAGGATCATGATCAGCCCGCCATTCGGAGCACGTACTGTTATAAAACGTCTTGAGTTCATCACAAGACACTTTGGCAGTGTGCATGCGTTCAAGCATGGGCCCAACACCTGCGTCATCCTTTCCCCAGAAATTGTTGGCAACTATTGTAGTATAAAGCGTTAGTAGGGACTAATCATAATGCCATTGGATCTGTTTAGAAGCCATACAGGACATGGCCACTGTTGGCCCATCAGCCACTGTTCCGGGCATTTTTTTTTTCTGCAGATTATGGTCGGTTAATCCTTCCGAGCTTTGGCCAGCCTTTGCTCATCTGATTACCGGGAATTAAAAGAAAAAAAACAAAGGAGCAGGATCGAATGTAGCCCAAAGAAATAAGTAAAAGAAGGCAATACTACAACCAGAATAAGATTCCGGAGAATTAGGGAGGCAGGAGATCAATCTGGAGAATATCCCCGGAGACGGCAAAGGGGGAGAGGGGAAAGAAGGGGGAAAAGAAAGCCAGAAACCACGGAAAGAATGTTGCAGAACAGCACACGATAGAGCTGCTGGATCTAGTGGAGTTTGATCCTCAGGTAAGGTTGAGTCTGGAATGGATGACGGGTGATGTTTACAGCTCCACGTTTCTCGGGGCAACCACCGGTCCATCACGGGGGCACGTCATTTAATGTATTTAATGTACTGTACCGTGTACTGTCGTGTCCGCGGCCCACGACCTGCCACTCAAATTAAGAGAATTCAATAGTCCCGCTGACCCCCCGTGACTTTAGCGCCCGTTCTGGCATCCAGGGAGTGGGACAACGATTCAAACGTGTGCTGGCAAACCCAATCACTACTTTCAATTTGCCCTCTCCCTTGGGAACTTTACAACGGTTTGGGTAGTAATTGATTATTGACCACGCGTCGTGATTGCTGCCCATTTCCTGAGCGAGTCAGTCAGGTAGGGAAGCAATTCCATCACCCGTGGTTAAATTTGAGCGCCAGCCACAGTCGAGTAGTAGTACAGGTTGCAGATCCATATCGATCCCCAGCCCACCTGAAGTATCGCTGACAGTCCCAACCCCAACGGGCTATTCTGCGTCTTTCTGCCGCCGTTTTTTAGTTCCGCCTGCCAAGATAAGCAATAGACGAATAGCTCCACCAGGCTCCACCATTAATTGGATCTTGCCTAAGGCATGCATAGTACATACTCTTATACTATGGATATCTATCCACCACTTAGCCCTACTACACATTCTTGAGGTCCTTCGGCTCTTACACGATCTATACCCCACCTATTAGAAATATAGCGTTTATGAACATATGATATGTAGCTCCTTTATTTTTAAATGAAATCAAAAGATAGATATTGCTCCTTCTGCGGCCAGCTTCCGAGTCTGTCCCGGTATCCATCCGGTAGGCCAATTCCCACGATCGCGGGCTTACCTCCACACAGGACATGCAATGTTCAAGAAACCACTTTGAAAAGTGCCTAAGAACCTCCTTCAATACACTGCCTTTGTATAGTAATCTCTAAGACTTTGCCAAGCATCTGGTGAGTACCTTATCAAGTACAGTACCTGCTGGAACATCTGCTAAAGTGCCCGTTAAAGTATACGACCGCTTCACAAGGCGGCTTCTCCATTACCTAGATCTCATTTAGTACCGTCCTTTATCATTCCACGCAGAAAGAGCACCAGTATCAAAGCATTGAATGTTTCTGTTTCTCAAGAAACTTCCACATCTTCTCAAGTCACGTCGAGAAGGAGGGGGTATCGTTAGGCAGGACTAATTCGGTGGCCCGGGAGAATCACGTATATGAACGGTGACCCAGAAGTAAAGAAGGACCACTTGTCAGTCGTTGCTGAGTAGATGCGGTGTGGTCTACCCGACCCCTGGTCACAATCAGACTTGTGAGAGAATGGAACTCCCATACACATAGAGTTCTCTAAGACATCTGGCTAAAAGGGGTCCTACCTGATGAGGAGATATGGAAGAGCGTCAATCTGGTGCCGGAGTCGCACGATGAGATCGTCAACACATAAAGAAATGAAAAATGCAGCTCAACGATGCAAAGTGGGGGTAAAGGACAAGGAGAAAAAGGCCGAGTTATTGTAAGGAGGAGCGCCTTTTAACAAGGCAGATTGCAAGCAGAAATTGGTAGGTGCGCAGGGAGGAAAGCACCAAGATTTTGAAGGCAGGTAGTTGGAGACTAGGCTATAAGCGGTACTTCCCTACGTAGACGATATTACAACGGTGGAAAGTGCTGCTCAATTTATACAAGAACATTGGTTTACTCGTAGTGCTGCCATAAATCCATGACCTGGAGGTGCAGGATATGAAGCTGATTATGATTAGTAGAAACTTAATCTGACAAGGATCGAAACCTTGGTTGTCACTATTCCCCTGCTAAACTTATCCATCGTAAAATGACCTCGAACATTCCTCGTTGCATTTATGATAACATGGCCAGACGAAGTTGGATGTGAATATTCGAACTCTGTCCTTCCTCAGGTCCCTAGGTCTGAATACCTGGCTATATATTCAGACTCTCTTGCTAATCTCTTGTATCAACTCTGGTTCTAGTCTTCACCTCCAGAAATATACAGCCATGGCCCACAACGAAAGCATCCCCAAACAAGAGAATCGTATAGCAAGTGATATCGCCGAAGATGGACTTGTAAGTGTACTCAAGGCATGACCAGATGGAATCAGGATTAGCATTCCCAGATCACCTGGGACGGGCCTGGTGATCCTGAAAACACAAAGAATTGGGCCACTTCTCGAATGTGGCTGGCGGTTATCTCAATTTCAGGCTATGTCCTCATGAGTCCATTTTTAACAACTATTGCCGCTCCTACTTTAAACGTTATTATGGAAGAGCTCAACGTCACAACTTCGGCACGAGGGATCACGTTGATCTCTGAGTTGGAGGTGTTGGATGTACAATGTAAGTCTTTGAATAAATCGACTACCAGAATACTGGTGCCTGGTAAACCATAATAGAGTATATTTGGGGAGCTTAGCCTCAAATCAAACAAATTCGTAAATGATCGAGCACTTACAGACCAGGATATGTCTCGCTGCATGAAGGCTGGATCAGACAGCGATACTACCTGCAGGGCTGTGTTCAGCAGCGACCATGAGGTCTTTTGTATAGGTTTCCGCGTCCACTGAGTCTCATTCTCAAGCTTTCGATGTAACAAGAAGCAGTTGTACTGTTGGTCCATATAAGTTGTCATCACGACATGTCGTTGTGGAGGAGGAATATGTTGAAATCCACTGAGCTCGTCGTACTTTAGCTCTTGCGGAATCTGGCCCCAGAAAAACTCGTGTCTGGTCAGTATATCCCTAAATACTGGCCATTAGTAGAGTTGTCATGGGCGCAGGATGGGAAATGCAGCTCCTTTCCTTGTGACGAAAGACACATCTGTCACAGCGGACCTTGGCAATTCGACACGGCTCGCAGGAACGAGGTTTTCCATTACGTCTTGTTGAACTCAAGCTTCGCGAAGTCATATCAAATATTTATTAGTTTTGGTTGCGATTGCTAGGATTTTGTACAGGGCTTCAAGCATGGTTGATGAATATCACGAGAAAATCTTTGCTTTTTATAGCCGGTGACATGAATGCAAGTGCACTAGACCTAAATAACTTATTATGTACAGTACAAGGATGATATACTAACAATAAATATAGTGACTTGTACCGGCGGTACTGTATATTAATAATTGGCAACCCATTTAACTTAATACATTGTATAGGAATCTTTCGCTTCGAGGATCTTATACCAAGGCGATCCATTCAATAAGAAATTTTGGGTTTCGTACTTATCACGTAAATTTCCAATTAATCAACGGGCCTCTCTGAGTAAAACTATACGAACAAGGAACAATAAAACCAGAGATCATAATTCTGGGCTTTGGTAGCACCAGTATGTACATATACGTGAGGTCGCTTAAGTAGATTAATAATATCTATTTATGAATTAAATTAAAGTTTAGGCAAAAGCTCATATTCCCTGTTTTTACCACCATAGTATCTACTATCTGGCTATAAAATCTACACCCTTGCAGATAAATTAAGGTCATTTCTAGCTTGCAACCTTTAGCATCCCTGCTCATGACCGCTTTTCTACTTCAGCTCCACACTAGAACAATCGACCCAATCGTCTGGATCGACACTGGTGACAGTCTTGGAGTTCTGCGCCATTTGTACGACGGTGCAATCATGATTCATGGATCTAGTAGCACCAAACTATTATGTCGGTTGCTTGAAAGATGGCTTCCTGAACTTATATTCAAAGGTCCAAGCATGTGGGGAAGACCAACATCTGTTGAAATCACGACATGGTCTAGAGAGACACACGTTTGAACCCTAGCAAAGGTAGTGCGACCTAATGCAGGAAATGATTTCCGACTTGTCCAGAAACTCTTCCGCGTCTACCAGATGACCCGCCATGTAGCTTAGAACATAGGCTCGTCATATGTAATATCTAATGATGATATATGGAGCCCTCACGCATATGTTGACCGTTACATTTGTTGTTGTAGAGACACTATTCATATACTCCTCCTCTCTATATATATGCCTAGACTTCCAATGGCCTATTCAAAACCATTTATGATCCCTCAAATAGGTATTATATACATTTACAACATGAATACTTTGCTGGACAAGACGCTCGTCCCTATCGCACCCGGGTTTTACATCACCCTCACTGTTGTAACCATCCTTGTAGCATATCTTTCCATCTTGGCCTTGTACCGTCTTTTCTTAAGTCCAATTGCTGCCTTTCCCGGTCCGCCTCTTGCCCGATTGACATACCTGACCCAGTGGTACTATGATTGGGTCAAAGATGGCCAGTATTATCTTCAAATCGAGGAACTGCATAAGAATTACGGTATGGTCTCTTCGATGCCTTAGCTACTTATAGAAAACTAAGTACGGTTGCAGGGCCCATTGTCCGGGCTCCGAGTGAACTGCACATAAGAGATCCGGGTTTCCACAGCAAGCTCTACGTGACCGGAACTGTGAGGAAATCCGACGCGTAGCATCGATTTACACAAGGCACTGGATTTGAAGGTAGCGAAGTTTCTTGGACTGGAAGTATTAGCATCTGTTGCTGAGCCCAAACATAGATATCACTTTCCCCCTCCTCTCCCATGACAAACATCGAGCTTTGCGTGGGCAGGTTAGTCGTCTCTTCACAAGAGCGGGAGTGAGCCAGCAAGAATCCAGGATTGTGGCACGTATACAGGCACTATCGCAGAGGATGGATGAGTTTGTGAGCGTCGGAAAGCCAGTCAACCTTCACGATGCCTTCAGTTCCCTTGCAGCTGGCATGTATAGTAGCCATGGTTACAAGATTGATGATTAACTGGTGGATAATAGATGCTATATCAGTTATATTTCACGAAGAGTCAACGGACTACCTAGGGGACCCAGATTTCAATTCAGCTTGGTGTGTCTTGTGTCGGTGTCTCTCTGCTGAAGCAAATGCTGATCCATGTAAGTATAACGGATGACGGCTGGTGCTGTATTTTGGGGAAGTGGGGGATTATCCAGTGTAGTAGCGGGTTCTGTTGGTTTTACCCGGATGGAGGCGAGGCGGGTACGTATCCGTTTAGGTTGGACGCAGGTCTAAGATATTGTGGTTATATCGATACCTGGTCTCGCGATTATCATGTGTATACCACGAATTGGTCAATGGAAGATGTAGGTTGCAATGCTTGTTTGCCTGCTTCGGATTGAACTAATAACAATCAGATCGCTGAACAATTGGGCTGGGGCAATATCTGGAGATTCAGCGGTAGTGACGAATCTGAATATATAAGCATTTTAATGGATGTGCTAGGAGGAGGGGAAGGGGGACAGGCTTACTCGCTATTGAACGCAACTCGATACAAGAAGATACAGCAGGATAATCGAGTACAATGGTGTTTTTATGAAAATTTACATCTGCCGCAGGTGATGATGTAGCAGCCTCTTTTTCGGTGCTCTTGATCGTGAAATCAATCGAGATTTTCTGTATCTTAGCAAGACTTCACAAGTAACATAAGTTATATACTTATAATGGCACTTCTTAGACAAAAGGCAGGATTAATTAGGAAATCATAAGGTATAGATATGACGGATGTAAAGTATTTTATACCCATTTAATAACGAACTAACAGAACGGAGTAAGTTTCCCAAGTGAACGGTTGAGATTTGTAGGTTACGGAACTTCCAAGTTGCAGTTGTCAAGTGCCAAAAGTTTCCAAGTGAAAAGGATAATTGATATTCAGATGCCCACAGTAAGTTAGCCAGGAATTACCTAATTTAGGCATACAGATCAATGGACATGATAGATCGCCTCACGAAGAGTTGACTCAGCAGAACCGATTGTCTTGTTTAAGTCGCGATCTATGTACAGTAGTAGTAAGCACCATGTGTTTAGGGGTGGATCAAATTACGTTAATTATGGTGATTTTAGCAAAACGGATGCACGGCATAGCCTTTCATTTGACAAAGGATACGCCATAGCCCTCATGATTTTATCTTGACGTTATAATATCTCTGCAATAAACAACCTATCTGTCTACAACAATACTTTGGAAGCTTGACAGCCTTGGAGGTGTCATTTCGGGTATACTTCTAAAAGTAATAATAATATCGGGGTTCGGGATGCTCATTGTTGGGTTGTCGACATTTACCTCTAACAGCAATAGATTTACGGGGTTATTGTGTTGGCGTATACCGCCGCCTTGTAGCATTCTAAGGCTGGGTACTATGTTGACAGTAATAATTTATGAACATGTCTCCTCGGCCATACAAAAGACTCATGATCCACATCCACTCGGGGTCTCCTGCATACTAAGTATCATAGCTGCTAGCATCTACATATCTTCGACATTCCATAAGATATTTGGTTCCTCCCGATAGGACGCTGAACTGTTATAGTACATTGATGAAAAGAGGGGGCAAAGCGAAAATAGTTTCAATGAATGATGGATTAATGCCCATAATATGTCAATTATTTGACAGTGAATGGTTAAGAGGAGAACAAGAAGAACGAGGGAAAAGGTAGTGAATGAATGGTCTCAATCTCCAAGCAGTGTGTTACTCTATGGACCGGTTTATAAGAACGCACCTTGATGCCAAGCCGCCGCTCGACCCTAATCCTGGACGGGAACGCTATGCCTCTTCCAGTGAGTCGCTGTTATAGGTGCAGCCATTTGTATGGTGACTAAGATATTACATAATTTGGAAACATAGGCTCACGTGCACTCAATATAATCACGAAGGCCAGCAACATCTGACAGCAAAAATGTGGAACCGTAGGCTCTTTGTACTGAACAGAGTAGTGTGAGGTGTAAAAAAAAAAATAATTATAATCTTAGTTATCCACTACATACGAACCCTCAATGGGGGTCTCATTCTCTGGTTGATCCGTTAGGTAGTTTCTCTTGGGCATCATTGTTTATGTTCCATAGCCCTAGTACTAAAGAGACAGCCTTCGGGCCCTGTAGCCTGTGGTAGAAACTAAGCACCAATCCGAGCTAGTGCTGTCAGCCTCAGGCATCATCTCCACCTGCCGTCCACTCAACCTCTCTTTCTCTGTCCGTCATTAACTCGGAACTTCCAACCTGTGCCACGAAGCAACATTCATCCTCATTGTCATCCTATTTTGGCTCTGCCACCGCAAGATCTACCCTTATTGCAATCAAATAAATAACAGCGTCATAATTAGGTTGCAAACTTCCGTCGACTGTCGTCACGAATAAAAATTTGTCGTCGCCTTCAGATCAAATGATCGCGTCTCCTAGATGACCTTCCCTCCCCCTCCTCCTTCCTCCCAATCGTCGATTGCTTCTGGCACCGATAAGTCTTCCACGATCAGACCTGGAAGGTCACAGCAATCTGCCTGGGGTCCATCCGTGTCCCAGTCCAGCGTTCGCCGTGGACTGACTCCGCTTGCGACCAACAATCTCGCATCGTCATCTTTCCCCTCTACCTCTTCCCGAGGGCCACCTCAGTCCAGTAGTCCTGGTCCGGGCGGTTTAACTTCATCTCCTTTGACCTCCTCCTTCTCTGCGGTTCTGAGTTCCGCACGAGGCTTTCCAGGCGGCCGGAACGCGCCCTCACCTGCCTCCACGCCGTCACCATTCACCTCCTTCCAATCTGGCTCGCAACAACATCAGCAGCCCGGACAATCTCTCTCGTCTCCTAAATTCAGAGCCCATACCCCGTCGTCTGGGTCACATCTGGCTTCCACAGCGGGCTCTATCGCGGGTGGTGGAGGCTCCGGGGGAGGCGGAGGTGGGACGGGATCTTCCAGAGGCGCCACCTTCTCTCCGTTGTCATCTGGGACAACGGTAAACTCACCTACAGGGTTTCCTTCTGACAAATCGGGCTCGGCAGCTGCAGCTCACGCAAGTCAGTCTTCGCTAACAAAAATATCTATTGCTCAAGTATTTCTTCTCCTAGATTCAATTACGGAGAAAGAAGGTCGAGAGAAGTGGGACACGAAAGCTGCTCAGATTCACAAAGTAAGCCAATTTATCTTTATTCGGAATCCTTGCAACGCGAACTATCACTAATGTATTGTTGCTTCTAGCTTGTTGAGTCCAACGGCATGGAGGTCTTCTCCAAATATTTCAGGCGCCTTCTCACAGGCAACGCCCCTCAGATCTTTCCCGGTGTGAATAAGTCTGTGGAAAATGCCGGAAATTATCCTCTCCTGGTGCAAGAGATGCAAAAAGTATCTCAAGACATCGAACAAGCCCAGAAAATCGCGGAGACGGTAGATACTTCCGAGGGCGATATTTTCCGAGATTTCGATCTTTCGACGTTCCTGGATCATTTTAAACTTGATCCTATCTTGAAAGTTTCACTTGCGCTGGCTTTTAAGATGGCTAACAAGTCGGACTTGCGCGCAAAGGGTAAGTCTGTCGCTTCTGATGCTTCTAGTAGTGATCGGTGTCTCACCATTCCCGCTTTTAGCTGATGCAATCCTCTCCAACTCGATACCTTCGTTCCTCCAAAGCCTCGCGACTCCGTCGGAGATAACCAAGGACTATAAGAATGCCTGTATCGGAATGACAATTGAGCGCTTCATCCTGTACCCACCACGCAATTTCACGGACGAAGTGAAGGCTAAGCTCGTATATGCGGCCAATCTACGCTATACAAGGCTGGGCGTAGAGATGCCTTTTGAGATTGCATCTGCCCTGCAAATGTTCAATTTCATCAACCCGAGATATACTCTAGTCCGTCAACTGCACTTGAAGGGGCCGAAAGCGACTTCAAACCCAGACCTTGTGACTGAAACCATTAATTCAGCTGGCTCAGAATGCTGGAATGAGGAACATCTTGCTAGTGCACTGTTATTCTTGGTACTGTCACAATATTGGCAGGAATTCTCCCTTGAAACATTCCTTGCAGCCGTCAAGTCACATTACAGTGAAAAACAAATAAGCTGGCCTCTGATTTTCCGGAACTTTGATCGTGAAGGCTTAAGACTAGATGCGAAACAATTCGCCAAACTATATTCGGCTCTCTTAGCAGCTGCTTCGGAAGACCCGACCTTGGATGTTCAGAAACTCTGGGGCGGTGATTGGGAACATCGTGACACTCAGCTGTCCTTTCTCACGGCTTTCCTTGTCTCTCGAACCGATGTGTCGCAGATCCCTAACCTCCGCGCTACTTTCCCTCCAGACTTTTTTGCGGATGGCCCCGAACTTGTTCGTTTACAAGGAGAGCGTGCAGCAAAATCACCCCTACGGTCTTTGGATGCCATGAGAGCTTTGTTCGATCTCTCCTTGTTCTCTCAGGCCTCCTGGGCGGTCGCCGAGAGCCAACTGCTTATCAAGGCCATCGTTCAATATGATCTCCCTGTCTTCCTATGCTCAGCGTTGACCCTTCCACAGCCGTGGACCACCGTTCAGCAAAGCTTCGTCCTCCGGACACTAGTCGTTTTCATACTAAAACAAGAGGAAGGATACCAGTTAGCTCTGCATGGAGCGTGGCGTCAAGATAAGCAATGGGTGGCGGAGCAACTTTTCACTACGTT